GTTTTTGAACGAATCTAGTGAGTCAGTGATTCATGATTACCCATTCATAAAGACAGTCACTTGCTTCATTCATGAATGAATAAGCTGTTCAAACGAATCAATTGAACGAATGATTCAGTGATAAAATCAGTGACTTGTCGCCACCTGCTGGCGGATTTAGTTTAATTTTTAGCGTATAATTTCAGTTATTTAAATCATTTAATATTTTTGTATTCAAAATTTTATATTTAAAACATTAATCTCCGCATAAATGTATGAATTTAATTGCACTCATGCCACCTCTGAGCCTCATTAAACGTCTGAAAATGTACCTACAAGCCACTTTTGTGTTCTTTTTGTGCCACCTCTGTAGTACAAATTAATTTTTAATTAATACTAATTTCATGATTGGTAACTTATTTGTCTTGTTCTACTTCTTATTATATTGTTTTAAATATAAATTTTAAAAAGCTTATAAACATACATTTTTGAATTTGACATAGATTACAAAGGTAAAAAGAAAATACCCCTGTAAGTATCTTTGAGTCAAATGTCACCTCATATTAGGTGTAAATTATTTTAAATTAGGAGGACAAGCACTCCTAATTACAAGAAGAAGAAAAAATGCTTTTAAACTGGGTGTGACAGGTATGGCTGTGGAATGGGGTTTGGCTGAGGAAAAATTTTCAGTCAAAAGTTTTTTTATTTTTTTGTTTTAACCCCTGTTTATGGCGCTATTTCAAAAATTGTCCTATTTTTTCCAAGCACATTTTACCAATTACAAACCACATCAATCTCAATAACTACTATTATTTTAGTATTTACTAATTTAGAAATGATATATAATTGTACATGAAGGCTGGAAATAAAAAACTCCTTATTTAGGTGTGCAGAATTATTAAGCAGGTTTTCTTTTACGGATGATTTGAGCCAAAAAAAGAGATTTAACTCAGACTGAGATGTCAAAAATAATGAAATCCCCATGAGAAATATTAAAAACTAATGCAATACAGAAATTTCAAAGTTAAGGCATGTCCATTGGTCAGCAAAATGCTCATTGGGTCAGCGGGGTCAGAAAAAAACAGGTGGAGAAGAAAAGAGCATGTTAACTGCAACAGAATTAATAATTAATGTGAAGAATTAAGTGTGAAACCATCAGGAACCTTTTAGTCTCCAGTGCCACTATTTTCCAGAACTGCAACCTTGAGTCTCCAGAATTACAAGGTGTCAGGTTCTCAGAGACTTTGCTTGGGTAAAAAATCATAAAAAAATGACCCCTACTAAATAAGAATAACATTCTGAAGTGTTGTGAAATACATGAAGAATTTTTGTAGGCTTTATGGACAGATAAGTTGAGAGTGACTCTTGAAGGACCAGCACCACATCCTCTTGTACCACTGTTAGAAGAATTGATCTTCCAGAATCTGGCAGTAAGTTTTAGGAGCTCATTTTTGTCAGTCTCTGCAAGACAGACTTTTCAGGATAGGAGATGGACTAAAAATTAACTCCTAAAACTTACTGCAAAATGGAGCTAAGGAGAAAATTTTGAACTTGAAATATTGGAAAAACAGCTTAGTGAAAAGCGTTTTCAGTTTAAAAGCAAATAGAATAGAATTTTTTTTTATATATTTTTTTTGCAGATTTGCACATGTACAAGGTTTAAAATGTTCATGAAATATTTTCAAAAAATACTGACATTTTGAGCTGCATTCCTAGGTCAAAGATGAAAAAATGGGATTTACAATAAAAAGTCATTTACAAAATTATTTTGACTTGAGTTTATTTATTAATGAGTAATGTATCTTTTGAGTGAATGTGCAAATTTTTTATGTTAACAGGTTTTACCATGTTATTACAACATTTAACCACTTTTTATTAATTGAGAAATTGAGAAATTCTTTCAAATTTAAATCTTGTACAAGAACTACAGCAAAAAACAGTTTGATGCATATTTTATCAATATTTTAGAAATTGAATTTTATTTATCACCAGTACTTAATAATGGATTTCAATGAAATCGACTTCAATGGATTTCATTAAATTCCTTTGAACACAACTGCTCAAAACGGTCTAAATTTATGAAACCTACACATTCAAAACATTATTACTCTGAAATGTTTAATGTAAATGTTAAGTGTAAGTGAAATGTTAAGTAATGTAAGGTCTTTCATGACACTACATATGCTGGGGTGTGAATTTGATAGGTGCTTAATATAAAATAAATGGTGCTTTAAAAAGTCCTTGAATCTGGTGTTCATGAAAGAGTGGGAACCTTGTGCTTAACATTTTTTTAATATCTCAATTTTTTTTTTAGGTTTTGTCTTGACTCTGCTAAACAAACCCGACAGAAGGTGGCTGTGAACTGGTCCAACTTCAGCCTCAAAAAGATGCCCTCAAATGCAGCTCAGTAACAGATAGGTGATGGTAAACAGACCCCCCCCCAGCAAGACTGTACTAAAAACCAGTTTGGCCTTTGGTTACTTCACTCAACACCTGATCGGCCTAAGGTTTCTCCCTCTCACAGCTCTTTCTGCCTCTATGCCACGGGACCTTGATTTTGACCACCAGTCATCAAACTCGTTTTCATTTGACCTGTTGTTCATGGGGGATCACACTGCATCCTGACCTCAGTCTGAAAACTTGCATCTTGTTATCGCTAAAACACGTTTGGGTACTGATTCGGTGCATCTACATGCTTTATATGTCATATGTACACAGTTGTTTTACAATAAAAATGTTTTAAATTCACAACAATGGTGCGGTTTGACCCATCATGCTTTTTTCAGCTGTTCATGTGTTTTAAAAGGTACTTCTACGGTTGCACCATCATGCATTTTTGCAGACTCCACTCACCCTGCAAATATACTGTAGTCTTAGAATAGATTCGAAAAATTCGAATTGCTGTATCATGTCTGATTGTCATAACAGAGGTAAAAAGGCAGCAAGGACTGTTGTGTTCACTGATGTGTTTTAGTTTGCAGAGCTGTCCATGTGAAATACAAAGATCTGGATAGATTATGCTACACCCATGTAATTTTGCAGTCGACTTTGTAAGGCCAAGTGCAGCTGTGACAGTTTATATGCACAAAAAGTGAACCGTGCACATGGACTTTGTTGTCTTTTAGAACAATGAGAACATCAGTACCTATGCTTACAATGTATGATGTGAGAAACTGTTTTGTTTTATTACTTTGGACATTTTTAAGAAAAGAAAATGGAATCAACACTAAAAAAACACTGATTTTAAAGACCTGTATCCGTTGACTGTGTCACTTTTACACAGAATCTAAGGTTGAGCAGATGAGCTATGTTTCCTTTGCATGATGCGTGAAAACTGACAAGTATAGGCAACTACAAATCTCTCCCTTGTCCTTCAACTCTGTATGGAATAATGTTCCAAACTGACTTTTGGCAAAATTCCCTGATTCCCAGACCGAAATCTTATGGTAGTATCCCTGCTGATCCTCCCGTGTGGTAGTTTGGATATAGTTCTGTGCAGTGACCACGTTCTCAATGCTGTTGTTGTGAGTTTCAGTTTGTAGTAGGTTCTCCAGCAGTGCACCCTTGTTTTGGCTGCATGATGGTATCAGACCTGAATTTATGCATCCAAGACCCTTGCAGTAGTTCTGCTTGTGTAGTTTCAGTCCACTGGTGCGTAACCAGACCTGTTCAGAACTGTTTTCATTCATTACATTTGCAATCGCATTTTACGATGATTTAAAGGGTGGTACAGCGCTTGTAACATCTGGTGGCCCTTGCCATAGCTTTGTATGTCTGCGTCATAGTTTTTTTTACACCTGTATCCCTGAAGCTGAGCCCCTTCTGGTAAAAATCCCAACTACAGATATGACACTTAAAAAAAAAAAAAAATTAGGGTCTCTGGGTTTATGATAGAGTAAATCTCCTTTGAAGGACTGAGATCTCTTGAGAAATTCGTTTCGAGTTTTTGTTTTCGTATTTTTCTGACAACTTTGACTCTATCCAGGTTATATTAAACTAGAAAACATCTTAAACATTTGGAATGTAGATTTATACTATACCATTAATGGCCAAGTGTATGTTGGCTTTCTGTTTTATTTTGTTGTTTTTTTATTGTTATTATTATTATTATTATTCACTTTTGATACTGTGAAAATCTTTCATGCCGAAAGATTAAAACATGACAGTTTTGAGAAAAAAAAAAAGTGTTGTGTTTGCTTTCTAAACTTATATTTTGGTAACATGCAAATGTGGTAATATAAGAAACTGCATAAATGGGATGAAAGATTAAAATGAGAGTATTCCGTTTTTGCAGCCCCAGCCCAATCCCAGAATCTTTGAGAATGAGAATGGGTAACTGCTTTGGTCACCATTCACTTTCAATGTTTTTTTTTTTCTTCCAGTGCAAGTGAAAAATGACTGAGGCACATTCTGCCTTGTTTGTTCCACAGAAGAAAGAAAGTAATACAGGTTTGGAACAATATCATGCTGAAAAATATGGACGATTGTTTATTTAGGGTGAACTTGTATATATATTTTTTTCATCTCTGAAATACTTTCGTTTCGTTTAGTCCCTATTGGGCCACCGTATAGTATACGTAACCTGTATGTACGTCACGCTTCCGTTGAGCAGCAGCAGCGTAACATGCTAGCTAGCATAAACAATGCTTGTTTGAGTGTAATGTAACATTTATCTGACATTTATGTACTAAATACCATCGCTAAATTATAACCCTAAAGCCAGTAACGTCGAGCATCATGGAAACGGAAAACCGACCCAAAAAGGTGAGTTTTACTCATATAAACGCATCTTAATAAAGTAAATATTCGAGCAACATATTCAACTACATTCACTATATTAAACGTGATTAATTATATCTCGTTAAGATTTTTATGCACAAGTGTGGTACAGGTTATGTCAAATAAAACGACGTTTTGGCATTTTGTATAGCGATTTAAAATGTGTCGAAATTAAACAGACGTGTTTTAGATAATTTATGTATTAATCTGTACTAATTTAGCCTGCACTATTGTAAATAATATAAAACCGTAAGAAGAGAGTATGTGCGTCTGAACTGCTGTATAACTTCATGTGATGCTGTATGCCGTTTGTGTTATATATGTAATGATTTGTGACTTTTATGTAATTCTCAGAGAAACTACTCTGAGAAGTCTGGATCAGAGGGCTCAGAAGATGATGACTATGTGCCGTATGTTCCTGTTAAGATCAGAAAACAGCAGATGGTAAGCAACCTCTACTAAGATTACAGCATGGCCATTCATTTTCATGAGAAGTGTGTTTTTGTTTCCTGTGGCAGCTCTGTGGTTCACCACCACTGTCTGCTGTATGTCACACCGTGATTTTTGAGGAACTATATTTCGCTCTTTTGCTAACATAAGTCTGAGCATCCTAAGTATCACATATGTTTATTTGATGTGACCCTTAGCTCCAGAAGGTGATGCATTTCCGTGGGAAAGGGCTCACAGAGGAGGAACAGAAAGATAGTGGTGGAGAGCAGAAAGATGAGGATGAGGGTCTGGGTCCCCGATCCAATGTCAGTCTGCTGGACCAGCACCAACACCTCAAGGAGAAAGCTGAAGGTCTGTTCCTCATTACTTATTTACTGTCTAATGCAGTGGGTCTCAATCAGAGTGTCAATTTAGGTCAATTAAGCAACCACAATTCATTGTGTGATTCTAGATGTTTCCAAAAAAAAAAAAAAGTTGAGGCGACAAAAGAAATATGATTTAGGTTGACATCTTGATTGTATTTTTTAGCAAGTTTAAGTTCATTAAGATTATTATTATATGTTATATTATTATATATTATTACATTAATAATATATAATTTTAAGTCATACTACAGCCCCCTTGAAAATTTGCTGAGGCCCCTTGGTTGAGAACCACTGGACTAGTAGAACTTCATAAAAGTGTTTGGACAGTAATGGAAACAAACTCAATTGTCTCTGAAGCATCAGTCATTTTGATTTTCAGTTATCGATATTTGTAAGTTGAGTATTTCTTAGGAAGTAACCTTTAGAGGCGTTTATCACATGAATACAGTTGTATAGTTTGTCTAACCTATGTGTGAAAAATCTAGGATTCAAAATGTAATTTAAACCTGAAAATACATAAAGATCTAGTACATTGAGGAATTATCAAGAAATAAATTTTGAGATGTAAATGAACAATTGTTGAAGATTCTGCACTATTTCTAGGGTACTTATCAAATAAGCTAAATTATACTGATGGTGTTTTTGTAAAGAAAAAATGTATTAGTTTTTCTTGAGTGGTCTCGGGTATGTTTTTTTTGTTATTTATTTTCAATTTGTACATTAATAATTGTAGCTCGAAAGGAGTCTGCTAAGGAGAAACAATTGAAAGAGGAAGAAAAGATTCTGGAGAGCGTGGCCGAAGGCAGAGGTAAGCAAAAACAGAATCATTTACCAAGTTCTTAAATTTATAGGTCAGAAGTATTTCATAAAATCATAAACATGCATCTTTCCATATCTTTATCAGCTCTAATGTCTGTGAAGGAAATGGCCAAAGGTATCACATATGAAGACCCAATAAAAACAAGGTGAGCTGCCTTTAACTCTCCTTTGTTTAACTCTCATTTGTCAGATCAGTTGTGGGTTTTTCACAAATAAAGACAACAGCAATCAACTTCTGATTTTTTCTTCAGCTGGAAAGCGCCACGTTACATTCATGGCATGCCAGCAGCGCGGCATGAACGTGTACGGAAGAAGTACCACATTCTTGTTGAAGGTGAAGGCATTCCACCACCCATTAAGAGCTTCAGAGAGATGAAGTTTCCTCAGGGTAAGATCCATCTCACCTCTTTTACATGCAGCACCTCACTCACAGCTTCACACTAATGGCTCGCTCTCAACTTTAATGGTCTTTGCAGCCATCCTTAAAGGACTGAAGAAAAAAGGAATCATTCACCCGACACCCATTCAGATTCAGGGAATACCAACCACGTGAGTCGCAAGGCCATGGCATGGTTTCGCTTGGGCCAATATTCAGGCATTATCATACAGCGTCAGGTGGTCAGATGGTTTTAGCTTTTTGTTCTTTAAAAAATGTGCAAATTAATCAAACGCATATCTTGAATTTTAATAAAAGTATTTAATCATTTTAATATTCTCATATCACTGTGATATATTTATGATACTGTATATGGGTCAAAGACGAAAAGGGGTTTAAGCATAAAAACAATAAGTGTAATACTGCTTTAAATTGTTGTTGTTTTTCCCAAAATAAATTTTAAAAAATTCTGTTTAATTTAATTGCAATTTTGTTTTTGTTTTTCTGAGCAAAAAATAAATATCATACATTTTCCCCTGATTTACAGAAGAGAACAGTTTATGTACATATGGCGGAAATGTACGGAAAAATCAATTAAAGACGTAATCAAAGAGACGATGAACACTATTAACAGCAATTATTATATGATGCAATAAATTTATAGCAAAATTTGGTAGTTCTGTATGTTGTTTCAGGGTTGGCAACATATATATATATATATGTGTGTGTGTGTGTGTGTGTATAT